AGCCAGACCCGACGGTCCAGAACGGATTGTCCGTTCCATAAGACTGGAACGGACGGTCCACTAATGCAGAACGTCTGTTCTACTTGCTGGAACGGACGGTCTGCGTGTATTTCTGGACCGTTCGATTTTCCGAAATTAAACCGAATTAGGGTTAAATCACTTTATAAGAAGGAGATTAAAAACCCGAATATAAGTGAGCCGACTTGAGAACACTTAGAGCAGACTTTTGGTGAGATCCAAGAGCTTGTGAGTGTGAAAAAAGTCCGTTTTTCTAAAAGCACAAATCGAATAGAAGATTCGAGTCCTAGCAGACAAGTTCCAATCGTTAGAATCCATCCCGAAGTGTGGATACGTGTAGAGGGCGAGGTATTCTTCCTGCCTTTCGTGATCAGACGTGTTCTTCGATTGATACAGGCCCCGGATCGATTGAGGTAAGCGTTCTAACGTTTCTATGATTCAATAATAGCATGGTTCTAGGGTTTCATTAAATTTTTGTTTTATATCCGCTGCGCAAACCCTAGAATCGATCTCTTAGGAATTAGATTCGCTCATGAGATCCCAGGAAACCCAAAAGGTAGCTGGATAGAAACTCTAGTGTAAGTTTCCTGTAGGATTCCTCTTCAGCTGAATAAATCCTGTACCATCCTACTTGTCTCATCAGGATTGCCGCTTGAGATTCTCATCTCCCAAAGTGACTACCTATCATGGATATGCTTTTGAATCTAGTAGAAGTCAAGGAAGTGTTCTGGAGATTCCCATGCAACTTCCTTTGGAGTGCGGATTCAAACCTCACTGGTTTGATGTCACGGTTCGGGACCTTAGAGATTTCTTTCAGGGGATATATGTGCGTGTTGGTTTTTGATGAAGCAAAGTGGGGGCGATCATATCTCATTATGCCTCCTTAGCTAGAGAGATCGATGTTTGGCTCGTGTTTCGAGGGAAATTTCGGCGAGATTGAGATTTGGAAAAGAGAGATCGAAGTGACGACACAGTTTTCGAGGTTTCCCTTTTATTTTTAGCAAAATATCGATGTTTTAAACATCGATATCGATGTTAATAACGTCGATATTAAGATAGAACTAGAAAAGTTTAGATCTCGATGTTTTTAAGCTCGATATCGACGTTTAGAAACTTCGATATGTTTCGAAAATCTCAGATCTAGGGTTCAGTTGGATATCGAAATTCCGAAACATCGATATCGACGTTTTGGAACCTCGAGATTTGCGAAAATGCCCAATTTTAGATCTGATCAAAATCTCGACATTTTGGAACGTCGATATCGACGTTTCCGAACATCGAGATTTCTAAAAATTTCTCAAAAATCTGATTTTTCGCGTTTTTCCCATTCCCGATCACTTTTGGTCCTTTTTCCAGCAGCGTATGCTCGTGATGCATGAAATTAAACATGTTAATGTAATGCAATTACACGGGTTGCCTCCCGTGAAGCGCTAATTTAAGGTCATCAGCTTGACCCTCTTATTTTCAGTGATCTGGTGGTCACGTTAGACGGAATTGGTTTACTCTTAGCCGTCCCGGAGGAATGTACACTGTATTAGTGCACACAGTCTGTCTCAACTTACAGTCATTTCCGCTTGCAGATTCAGGTATTGGACCTGGCGGTTTAACTTTAGTTTCTAATCCAGCATCAGGGATCTTTAATGTTGAGCCCTACTTCTGCGGAATCTCTCCGTTGGGTTTCCCCTTAGTTGTCATCATCAAAGGTGCGGATTTGACTTTTATCACGTTCTCTGCCTCACAGTTTACAGATTTAGCCACTGGCAGGATGTAGACGTCACTATCATAGGCAATTCCTTTGCCTTTATCCCTTAGTTGAGGAATTTGTTTTTCCGTCGAACCAGGTAGTTCTTCAGAAATAATCAATGAATGCTCATTTTCTTCTTTACTCCGTTCTGATTTTTGTTCCAACTTGAATTCGATATCCTCATCTCCTATATGCATCTCTAAGCATCCTTTCCGGACATGAATTACGATATCAACAGTGTTGAGGAATGAACGTCATAAGATGTATGATTCATCATTTCTGTTGTCCATATCTATAACCACAAAGTCGATCGGAACGTGAACGTTTCCAACCTTAAGCGGTACATCCTTTAAAGTCCCGAGAGGGGCTTTCACTGACTTGTCTGCCAGCTGCAAAATCATCTTTGTGGGCTTCAGTTCACCCACGTTCAGCTTGTCATATGTGGTCCTTGGTAGTAGACTCACACTCGCTCCCAAGTCGCATAGTGCGCTTGGGATAGAGACGCTGCCTAGTTGGCAGGATATGGAGAAACTTCTTGGATCTGCCATCTTAGCTGGTAGGCTCTGTTGCAATACAACACTGCATTTAGCTGTCAGGATTACTGGTTCCTCTTCTAATTTCTCTTTCTTAACGAGTGTGTCTTTAAGAAATTTCTCATAAGATGGTGTTTGCGCTATAGCTTCTTGTAAGGGTTGGACGATTTCCATCTTTTCCCACATATCTGCGAACTTCGTGAGCTCACCGTCTACTTGCGGAGTACGCCGTAATCGCTGCGGGAAAGGTATAGGAGGTGGTCATAGAGGTGGCGGAACGTATATGTCATCCGGTTCCTCTACGATCTGATTCCTTTGCCTCTCTAGATAGGCTCTTCTTTGTTCAGCAACGATCCTCCCAGTTCCGTAAGTTTCGTTCTCATTCACATAGACAGCATTACATTGCTCATGAGGGTTTGTTTCAGGTTTACCGGGTAAAGTGCCTTGCGTACTGCTAGGCTTGACTGCGAGTTGCACTACCTAGTTATATAGAAGCTTGACATGGGACTCTATCCCTTGGATTTGCTTCTTTAAATCACTTTGTTCGGTGACCATCCCTTGCATCGTGTTACTCATAGACGCTTGCCCTTGCAAGAGCGTCTCGAGCATCGACTTGATATCGGGAGTCTGATCGAACTTTTGCTGGGTTATTGTTGTTGACCTCTAAACTGTTGGTTTCCTTGATACCCTTGGTATCCTTGAAATGGTTGTTGAGGTCTCTGTTGGAATGTTTGACCTTGGAATGGTCCCGCGTTTTGGAACGTTCGGTTCCTATTCTCTTGAGGAGCATTTTGGTAGTTGTTGCTCTTATAAGAGAAGTTAGGATGGTTCCTCCAGCCAGGATTGTAAGTGTTGGAATAAGGATTGTTGACAACATAGTTAATGATCACACGGGTTTTCCAACCGATTTTCTAACGTCATTTGTCCCATCTCATTATATATTTTAGGCATATTAGGACGTTAGATGGCCATGGGTAGGAATCTTCCTCTCTTTTTCCTTGCAGGACGATCAGACGAGGATATTCGCGTACGAGGCACGGAAAAGGATCGGAACTGTGAAGCCCGGAGGAGCTCATAGGAAATGAGCGAGCCGCTCGTTATTCCGAGCGGTCGCTCGTTATAGTGAGCGGTCACTCAGGACAAAGAAAATGAGCGACCCTGAAGAGAAAACGAGCGACACTAAAGAAAAAGTGAGCGACCGCCCGAAATCAAAACCGGCCCAAAAAAGGAAAAGCCCGATTTTTGAGGAGAAAATCTAGTTTTGCACTTTCATAAAAAGGGAGTTTGAGGAGAGAGAAGGGGGTCGACACTTTTGGAGAAAATCACATTGGAGAAGAGGCAAGAGAGATTGGGAGACCTAGGAAGACATTTTGAAGGAGAGGATCACCATTGAGGACCATCTTGAGCATTTCTTCTCCTTTTTTATGTTTTCCTTTTTTGTTTTCTGTTTTGAACCTCTAGTTATGTAGTAGTGACTTTGTTGTGGGTGAGGGATCCCCACTTTTGTATGGACACCTATGTTTAATCTATGATGTCTTTGAGTTTTTCTTCCATGGTTTGATATTTTGTGCTTAATGCTATTGACTTGACCGAAACCCTAGTTGGGTAGACAATAGAACACATTGATTATAGGGATATGGGGATGTTGTTTGGAACCAAATATCAAATGAGTGAGTTATTCGCATTGGGAAATGGATTAGCTCGCTTAGGATTTATGATAGGGAACTTTAATGCATCTTGAGATCATTTAGACCATTGGGAGATGGGTGAATCGATTCTCTAGGTAGTGAGTTTAAGCTCGGGGGAGACAAACCCTACATGAAGTGCTTGAAATCCCATTTGGAAGATAAACCCGTAGACATTGTAGCATCTTCAACCGTCCATGCGATTCAAGAGGGATCCCGAACCTACAACGCCTCGGGTCATTGTTCACAACCCGTTAATTTTACTTGCTTGCTTGTATTCCGACACTTACAACAACCCACATTTTTACTCGACCACCTAATCTAGCTTAGAGATAGACTAATACATCCTAGTCCTCGTGTTCGACCCCGGTATTACAACTACTGTATACTTGCGGATAGTGGTACGAATCGGGTATTAAATATAAGACTCGGTGCGTGCGCATCAGTTAACATCTTCAACCTCTTGTTCTTGAGAGAACATAGACTGGTTTCCATTGAACTGTTCTGATGATTCGTGTAGGACGTTACGGTTCGTCGCATAGACTTGCATCTTCAGTTCAGCTAGTTCGGCCTTAATAGCCTGGACTTCATTAACATTCTCTACATTACCGCTTTTTCGCGAGAACTCAGTTGGAGTGGTTCTGTCACTGGCCATACGCTCAATAAGATCCTCCATCTCATCAAAGGTTAGCTTTTGAAGGCTACCTCTGCTGGCGCAGCTTATGTAGAACCTCATCTCATCCTTTAATTCGTCCAGGAAAGTTGACAAAAGATAGTATCTGTCGAAGTTGTGATGAGGGCAGGCTCTTTGTTTCATCAAAATGAAGATTCTAACTTTTGGAAGCCTGCTTCAGTCCATAAATGGAACGTTGAAGCTTGCATACTTTTTTCGGGTACTTTGGATCAACAAAACCCTCAGGTTATGTCATGTACACATCCTCGAGTAGATTCCCGTTAAGGAATGTCGTTTTGACATCCATTTGCCATATCTCGTAATCATAGTACGCAGCTATGGCAAGCAGAATCCGAACTGATTTAAGCATCACTACTGGTGAAAATGTGTGACACCCGTAACCCGTGTACAGTATACGGGTTGTGCCACATGGACAATAGTAATAAAATAATAATAATGCGGAAGCAAAAATACGAAATCCAAAAACGTTTTAAATAAACCAGAGTAAGCAGCGGAAAATACAACAGGCGATCGGTATCGCAAAATAACACATGTCCGAATAGTTATAATTTAACCGTACAAAATGCGGGAAATACAAGTCTCGTCACCCAAAATGTAAATCCCGTACATGATGCTGCCTCTCTCAGGTCGTCGTCTGCCGGATGCGCTAGGCGTAATCCTCGTGATCTGAAAAAAAATGTAAACCACGAGGGCTAAGCACAACTGCTTAGTGAGTAGCCCGGGTTGAACCCGGAAATCCCGTTCCCAACGAGAACGGTACAGTCGACATTTCCATGAAAACACATGCAATAAGTAACACACAGTAGCACATCAATAGCAAACACAAACACGCCCGTATGGAATCCACCATAAGGCTTAGCCATATACCCTGGTCAAATCCATGACCAGGAGCGAATCCACGCCCGTCACCCGCGTGACGTTGGCCATCGCATCACATGCGATCGTGCGCGTCTCCTGCGCCCGTCACTCTCGTGACTACCGATGTCGAGTCCACGACACAACGGAAATACACATGGCACACAACGTGCAACATCCCCATAGTACAACCATACGCATCACGGTATCCGGTCCCTACCGAGCTACCGTTTAACGCCATGCAATTTCTAACCGCAAATGATCACGCAATGATCACTCATATTTCGATATCGCACATCTCACTACGCTACGCAACGTTCTAGCGAAAACTCGATTCGATTGATCCCAATCGCGAAGTCTTGTCCTCTGGTGAGGGTTGGTTTGTCCACGGTCAAGTCTGGTCAGGTCCGGGCCAAGCCCGTCGGTCGTTTCCTTTTTTTCCCGCGAACAGGAAAATTCCTCCGAGTTTCTCTGAGCCTGGTCCGGCGGACCAAGTTCTGGTCAGCCCCGGACCAGCCAGCTTCTCCTCTCTCAGTCCGCTTCTTCTGGTCCGTCTGGGTGTCCTCACTCCGACACGTCTGGTCCGGCGGACCAGGATTGGTCAGCCCCGGACCAGGCGTGTCCTCTTCTTGGTCCGGTTCGTCCCTCTCACCTCACTCCTGCACGTCTGGTCCGGCGGACCAGGATTGGTCAGCCCCGGACCATGCGTGTCCTCTTCTTGGTCCGGTTCGTCCCTCTCATGGTCAGACGGAGTGTGCCTTCTCCGGCACGTCTTGTCCGGCGGACCAGGACTGGTCAGCCCCAGACTAGACGCCTTCTTCCCTCGGTCCGTTCGCTTCTTCCTGGCTCGGCGGACCGTGAGGCTTCGGAACACGTCTGGTCCGGCGGACCAGATTCTGGTCCGGCGGACCAGGACGTGTTTTCTCCCGGTCCGGAACGTCTCCTTAGTCCGACTGAGTTTGCGTGTTTCGTCCCAGTCTCGGTCCGGAGCTGACCAAAGGCTGGTCCGGCGGACCGGGACTGGGACTTGTCCTCCTTCGCCATTTCCGAACTCTGTTTCGCGTTTTCTCATCCGTTTCGATTCGGGGTTGCTTCCAAATGCTATTAACACATAGTTTTACAT